CTTTCTCCCAACCTCTCCCTTTCAGTTCCATACCTAACTAGGGGTAGTGTTATTTCTGCACTGATCTCACCGTTAACCATGGTTAGATTAGCATTGTTAGCAAGGTTTAGTGATGACTGTGGTTAGTACTAAGGTTAGTGCAGACACACCTCTAACTCTGAAACTTAACAGGAATGGAGTGCCATGGGGCGGGGGAGTGGAATGAGCAGGGAGGCATTAATCAGTCAGAAGAATCTAAATTAGATCTTGGCAAGTTGCAGATTTACTGAAGCTAGTATGCTTCAAAAGACATCATCTAATTAGAAACATCATGTGTGCACATGAAAAAAAAAAAAAAGAATTAGCTATCCTGGGAAATTAAAAGCAGCATCCGTACCTTCCATTTTCAGCCAAAATTGCACCTTCATCCTTTAAGCTTTTACTTTTGGCCAAGCAGTCTTCCAGAACTCCCTTCTTCCGCTTAGCTTCATGAAGCCAGTCAACCTCTTCACTGTCAACAAGATCCTGCTCATCAGCAGCTTGAGCTTCAAATTGCTGAGATGTTACCTTGGATACTTTCTCACCAATCTTCCTCTTCCACCCAAAGGAAGCCATTTCACAACACTAGAAGCAAGGTATTTTCAACCAATTTTTCACTATACTGTATTTACATGAAATTTAGCAGATTACAATTGAAACTTGTACTAACACACATAATGAGGCAACCTACTTAACAAAGGACTACTTTCTGTAATTAAATCCTGGCAAAGATCTATAATTTTTAGATCAATATGCAAAAATAAACAAATGTGCCCTCCTAAAATGAAATCAAAGCATAGACTGAATGGAATTTATGAGATTTCACCTCCACATTTCTATAAACAACCATAAACAAATGGCAGAGCCTGGCATTCCTAATCTTTGGCTTCCTCAATTTTCAAGTATCCACAGAGACATTAATTCTTAGAAGCTATAGATATATCACATAAGTTTTTAAGTGGTGATACAAGAGTCCAGGCTGTCCAAACCAATCCAAAGCATCAGCTGTGCAAAAGAACAGCTTTTTTGCTTCTGAACGGTCTTCAAGGGACGCCCCACATAAAGTGCATTGCAAGAAATCACCAAAGCCAAAACTACTGAAGTCAGGCTGCCCCTGCCCAGATATGGGGATAGCTGGGCCACCAGCTGAAACTGGCAGAAGGCACTCCAAGCCACCAATGCCACCTGAGTTTCAATTGTCAAAGATGGATCAAATAGCACCCCCAAGATACAAACCTGCTACTTCAGGAGGAGGGCAACCCCATCTAGAACAGGTTGAACATCCCCAAGCCAGTAAGGAGAACCACCCACCAACAGCATCTCAGTCTTGCCTGGACGTTTGTTGAGCCTCATCCAGTTCATGGTCACAGCCAGGCAGGGGCTTAGCAAATCTACAGCCTCATCTGCTGATGATGAGAAGGAGAAACATTGCTCTGTATCATCAGTATACTTATAGCAATGCACTCCAAAACTCCAGATAACCACACTCAGTGATTTCAGGTAGATGTGAACAGCACGGGGGCATAACAGACCCCTGAGGAACTCCACGATGGAGAATCCATGGGGCTGAACAGTATTCCCCAGACACCACCTTCTGGAGATGGCCTTCCAAGTAGGAGCAAAACTACTGCAGTACAGTGCCCCCAACTCCCAACTCAGACAGTCACCCCTGAAGGACACCATGTTCATCCATCTGCTATGACAAGATCCACATCTTCTGTAGCACCAGTACTTACAGGCGATAATATGGAAGCATCTCAGTGCACAGTGAAAAACGTGAGCGACATGGGAGCAGAGTGAAAGAAAAGCCCCAACCTGGTCTCCTCAAGGAAAAAGCATTTAAGGCCATCCTATCCACTGAGGGACTCTGGCCGTGACAGAGGAAAAGGAAGATGGCATGAACAGTGCAGGGCAAGCAGGATGGACAGCTGCACATTAGAGGAGCCTATACTGACTGCTCTGAATAAGGCTACCAATGGATAAGGTAGCCTTATTCCTGAATAAGGTAGCCTGAATAAGGTTCTGAAGGGCTATATCAGGGTGCTGGCTGGGACAGGAGATTTGGGTTCAAGTCTCTATTCAGTCATGAAGTACCTACTGTTTACGGGTGCATGTCTGGTACTGCTGCCTCTTGGTAATCTACCCCCACCCCGCAACTTGCTGCTGTGAGGAGAAAAGGGAGAGGAGAGGAAACCTGAAAGTCCTTGCAAAAAGGGAGAAAAGTGGGATAAAATGTAATGTAATAATTAAAAATTCTACCTCCAGTATAAGAGGCAGTATGCCTGCATGCACCACCTGCAGGAGGCAGCTCTTGCACTCATAACTGGCCTGTTTCTCAGCTGGCTGGCCGCTGTGTGAACAGACTGCGCTAAATGGACTCTTGGTCCGACTGAGCATGGCTCTTCATATGTTCTGAAGACCAAGAATTGAAAATGGTAAAGCAGGGGCACTTCACAGGAGCCAAGCAGTACGTATTCCATACTTTCCTTAAAGAATGTGGTATGAGAGGGAAGTGTGAATGAGTGTTTTGCATTCAGAGGACCAGATACATAGAGCATCTTATGTTCCAACAGGAATGTGAAAATAAGAAAAGCCCTGGGGCCATCAAGAACCCTGTTTCCAAACATTTTCATAACTAGGATCTGAAGACAGTGCCTCATCCCTTCTGCACCCCCAATTCCCCTCAAGGTGGTCCAATAGTATGCCAGCTCTGAATATGGAAAGTCTCACATTTTTAGCCATCACGGGTTAGCGAAGATGACTCATCAGGGCCAGTGACTTGAGCAACTGATATCCAGAGGGAGACAGCCTCTTGAACACAAGGCCCCATTTAGCAGGTAGCATCTCAGAAGGGCCAATAGTTGTGGAGCGGGGTTGTACTCCTCACCCACCAACTCCTAAGGTGGCCAGCTTGCCTCTGTCTGAAAGCCCTCCAGACAATTCTCTATTTTGGAGCTACCCTTCATCTGAAGATCTGTTCAGCCCAAGCCCAACTTCAGGATCAGGCACCCTCAGAAGCAAGAGCTGGGCCTCGAGCAGCAGCACCTGCCTGGCCTGTCGAAGAAGCAAGGCAACAGGTCACGGGGTCACAGTCCTCCACACTACGGGGAGAGGTACTGACTCTCTATGTAAATGATACTGAGCATGCCTACATTTGCACCTATACTTATACACTGCCATAGGCAAATTATATGCAAATCAGTGTCATCCCTTGTCCGTTTCTGGGGTGATTAGTAAGCAGCAACCACACCAGGAGGCATTTAAAAGGCCTTCCCAGCTGGATCGCGGGGTTGAGGCAGGTATTTAGGCCTCTCCCTATTCACAGGTGGGGCGCAGCGCCCCACAGAAAAAAGGGCAAAGAGTTACCTGAAACCCCCCCTCTCCAGTTCTCTCGCTGTCCTTGCCTCTGGCTTAAGCCCCGCCTCTCCGGAAGCGGAGAAACCAGAAGTAGACGGTTTGGATTTCGGCCTCTATGGCTATCCATTCAGAAGCTTCCGGTCCAGAGCGAAACCCGTGTTCCCTCCCGCTCAACTTTTAATACCAAGGATAGAGCCGTTCAGTATGCGAAGCCGAAGAGCGGCAGCATCTTAAGACGCCTTCTGCGTTACCTTGCGTTTGGAGCGGTTTGTCACTCTAAACTTTTCTATCTCTGTGGTATCGACAGCCAAGTAGTACGGAGAAACTACAGCGCCCGGCCTAGCGAGGGTGTCGCTCTGATTTGTTTATGCGGGTATCATGCTCCAAAGCATGCTGGGTAATGTAGTGTAACGGGGGCTGACTGCCGATCAAAACAGTGGGAGGAGGCCGCTTCAGGTCGGAAGTCTCTGCTCGGTAATGTCCAAGACGCGGCTTCGCTAGAGGCAGGTGCGCTGTTAATATGCTGAAGTGATGCAGACTAGATATATAAGGGTATCCAGCGCTATTCGAGTCAATGGCTCTGCTCGAAGGAGGACTAATACAGAATATTGGAAGACATGCAGATGTTTGGCTCTTCGGCTCTCCTGAGCCCAAGCCAGTGTGGCCAATAATCAAGGAATGCTGGGAGTTGTAGTTCTAATTATCTGGAGGGCATGGGTTGTCAAAAATGTTACACCGCCCCCAGCCCAGTACTTTGTTAAAGGGACGGAGTTAAAACCGCACTTGGTGAGGTGTTGTTTTTTTTGCAAAACAGAGAAACACACGAATGGGTTTTCTTTAGCAATCATGTATTCATCTTTCCCTCAGCTTACATCCTAATACCCACTGTGTAGAATGAAGTTCATGCCTAGATGGACATGTCTACAACTGCACCTTGTGATCATTAACTACAGCACAAATGTGCACTTGCTTATTTGGGAGTTAACCTCTTTGAACATGAAACAGGGTTGCCTTTGTGCGAACATACACAGCAGCGATCTAAATCTGCTATGCAGTCTCAGCTTTTCAGGGAGTGCAATAGAAACATTTACAAATAACAATCTTCTTAGCATGGATACTGTTATTTTAGAATTACATTCATATCCTTAATTTTTCCTCTTGCAAGGAACCCTCACCACCTCTTCCTTTTATCCTCACAACTGTTAGGCTGAAAGTTTGGCCCAAAGTCACCCAGTAGTTTGCACAGAGACTAGTACCTGAATCTCCCCAACCTATCACAAACCACTGTATCCTATTGTAACCTAAGCTGGACCATCCACAAGAGTGAGGTAGCACCAGGTTGATGGCAGGAGAGTGACTGAAAAATTAAATCAGGGCAGGAGAGAATCTCAGAAATAGCTACAGAATTCTGACTTTGAAAAGGGAACTGAATATCCTGATGTGCACTTACTATATACCCAGCAATGTCAAGGAAGTTGCCTTTCAGGAAACTTGTCTACCATTACTCAGTGGTGTAGAATATACTTCTATTATTTTTCTAAAGTTTTAACAAGGCTTAGCAAATTCCCATGCTATCAATATATTAACATTTGACATAAAGCCAAAGGAAGCTAGGATGCCACGTACACAGGAAAACATCAAATATATTTACTTGCATACAATTTAATGTTTGTTAAAAGTAACAAGTAATATACAGCTATCACAAGCAGTTTTTCATTCAGTATTGCCAGAGAGAGAGAGAGAGAGAGAGAAAGAGATCTGCAGTAGAAGTAGGCACATCTTGTTTGAAAGGTGATAATCCATTTAAGCTATACAATGGTAAAATCAATTGACAGATGTAAATCTCTCAAAGCTTGTACTAAAACACAAAAAATGTCAGAACATATACAAAAGTTGGTTGTTGGAAATATTGCACCATAAAGATGGACATCTACCTTCTTACCAGTGTTAAGTTACATTGCACATGGACAGTTTTATTCCCACCCACTCCCCAATCAATTATGAACTGCAATTAAAATGTAACTTGAAGGGTTTTACCACTGAAATAAAACTTGAAGAAACCGATACATACTAAAAAAAGGTACTTGGCCAGTTATACAATGCTCCCTATGCCTAGTTCTTGAAGATCATGTTAAGCCCTTTTTCTTCACAGTGCCTCTTTCATAAAACAGCTCCTCTGTATGGACCATCTATTGCTATTTCCTAATGTAACAATTCAAAAAATAAAAGAAGTTACTATCAGTATTTTACTGTAAAAGCTTATGAAAAGAGAGAGAGGCTTTTTTGCTTGAAAAGTACATACTGGACAGCCCTGGCTATGAAAAAATGCATTAAAAATTGAAAAGGGAACATTTAATGGCCAAAGGCTATTTAAGAAAGAAATTAAAACTGACCATTCAAGAATAGACAACCGTAGCTTTCTGTTACATAATTTAACCTCCATATCCCAAGATAAAAGTTAAAAGCCTGGTGGCTTTGAACAAAAATGAATATATCAAGATTAAAGTTTACTGCACCATGTAACTTTCTAGTGCAAGGACACTGGATGTGATCCAACCTATGCTGCTGGCAGACACCTTCCATCCATTTCAGTGAGTCTTGTACAGGAGTTCCACCAAAGCTGCAGTTCTAAAGCCATAAAAAATTAGGAGTAAAGTCCTATTACACAGTGTGACTGATTTCAGTATAAACATGCATATAGTTGGGCTGCATGTCCTACAGAAATAGATGGTGGTGTACAGCAGAGGGATTTATGGCTTATGCCCACTATAGTCTGATGTTTGCCAATGCCAGAGATTGTGGTTACTGAACACATCCTAGGAGGCTACCCAGCAATAAAAGGGTGGCAGGGTATAGTGTGCGTTCATGCTATTTCCAAAGTGCAATATTAACGATTTCAAGATTAACACAGCATTACTAAAATAAATCACAATTATTGAATCGGTGCAGCAGAACTAGACATAAAAAGTATGTTTATTTTTAATTTTGGTAAATTAAAAAGGCAGGACAATTACTTGGTCCCCCAAGACAACCCCTCTTACGGTATTACAGTAGTACAACATATCAAATGGTGCCTTTTAAGCTCCCCCCACCCAGCCACCCACCCTCCACTCACATTCCTTTTGGAGTACACATTAAGGACTTCTACCCAGGTTCCATTCTAAAGACATTGCTACATTCCGAAAGTAACATGAGAAGACCACTATATGTCTCTTGACTCTGAAAGCCCAGCATGGGACAAGATTCCAACTATGACTGTGGAGTTTATGGGTCTTGGAAGGTAGCACAATAGTTAAGGTCTAGCATCTGCCTAGTTAAAATACCAACAAACAATGCAAGCCCTGCATTAATGCAACAGATACCAGCATAGGCCACTGCATGTTTCTTCTAATTCAGTGCAACCTTAGTCTCAAGTGTCAACTTGCTTAGCAGATACAGATGACTATTTTTGTCACCTGCTTCCTTAATTCATTGCTGGCACAATCCAGTGGAAACCTCTCCCACTCCCATATTCCCATGGAAATGAAAGATTGAGAGCTCTGTTTTCTGCCATCCACACATGCTATGCTCCAGTACTTCTACAGCACTTACCATGGTTTCATTTTCCTTAACCCTTTGAATACTCAAATCATAGAAGGGCTGGCCACAAACTAGGGTGATGAAACCTTTGTCTGCAGTGAGTTTGCATTAACTTTTTATAAAGCATCAGCCACAGTAACAGTTTCCCCTTGCCTCACTGCTTGCAAGGAGAAAATGAATCACTGTAGTGCCTCCTTGATAACCCCATAGCTTCAGTGTGGACTTGGTGGCACACAACACTAATCCAGCATTCTGGAAAACCTGGCTTATCACAAGCAAGCAAGTACTTAAAACCTGTTTAGTCCTTACTTCTAGCACAGTGACTAAACAAACCAGGAAAGATTTGTATAGCATGTTGTCTGAACTGTGGCTCTTGCCTTGTTCCAAAACTTATCATAACTTATAAACTAAGAGTAAACCATCCTTTGAAATTCTGGGCTATGTTTGTACCAACAAGCTAGGATAGCCAGTTGAAACGACACACTAAAAAAATCCTGGTTTGTGCAGCAGTTGGTATTAGCTGGTAGAGGAATATGGAGAAGAACATGCTGCGTACAGTACCATGCAGCTCATTCACAATAACCCAGAATTATTTGGAATGTGGGTTTACTAATCTCTGTGAACATGGTCTTGTATGTTTGGGATTAAGATTAAGGCAGCAAACCAGAGATAGTGCTAACCATGGTTAACTTGTGCAAGAATAATTGGAAATAGGCATTTCCCCCAGATATACTTCTCTGTTTTTATTTAATCTATATCACATTTTCCTTGTCCAATAAAAATGCCAGGGTTTTTGGAGGAGCATTATGTGAACATTTGCAATAAATTACCAAAAGCAAGCTTGGTTTCTTCTAGCCAACGCTGCTCACTCATTTCTAACCAATTGATTTTTGTACATTGCAAAACCAAACCAAAGCTACTTAAATTTTCCATTACTTTTACAAATCTTAATTCAGTATAAAAAAGTGGTGTAAAAAAGTGATTATGCAACATAGTCAAGATCCAAATCACCCATTACTAGAATGGGTAGTAATTTTGCCAAAAAATCTGTATACGAAAGCTGTATGAAAACAGGAAACACGGAATGCTCAGGAACTGTGTGAACAAATCCATTTGGGCTGTCCTATCAGCTGCATGCTTGTTGCATTCAGGCACAGGATCCACAGTATAACAACATGCAAGAAGCTGCTTACTAACAACCAGCATGATATACAGGCCAGTGAATCTGCATAGTTGTAAATCTCACAAGTATTTTCTCATCTTGATAGACTGGATGCTGCCTGAGGTTGGAAAGCTGTGCTCCCTCTAATCCTCAACTAACACCTACATCCAAGCATCTGTTTAGGCTCATGGAAAGGACTTATGCTTGCACAATGGAATTTTTCACTGCCCCACCTTTGAACAGCAGGCCATGGGGCAAATCAGTTCTTAAACTCAGCACATGCAGCAGTGGCTTGAGAAAAGCCATGCCCTAAGCATCTGGGTGGGCTCACAGAACAAGTTCCAGGGTTCTTCTGAACCTGGCCCATTTCTTCATTCATTTCTCAGTACTGAACCAAAAATTGCTTCTACTGAGTCTATTTGGCATTGTAATTTCACTCCTGTATCTAATAAGGATTCAAACCCATGAGAATTTTGACTTGGGATTTGCCACAATACATCAACATCGGTAAAAAGCCAGACTGGAACTGCTTTAGCTTCTCCCATCCGATGTGCACCACTGGCTGGCGAACACATGAGACAAGTGCCGGATATTTGAAGTGCTGTTTGACAAAGAGAACATTTATACTGATAGAGCAGGGTGCAAGTAAAAACTGGGATCCAAAAAGTTACCTTCATGGACCCCTCATTGAGCAAGTGACCACTTATACTGTAATAGGAATATATAATCAGCAATATAAAGACAACCTACAAAAAGGTCCTTATGGTTAATACTCCACAAAGCCCCAACATGTACACAATGAAAAATAAACTCTGCTCAAAAAGGCTGTCATTTCTTGTACCTGTATCACACCAGTGGACTGTCTAATAATCATTTGCTTTGTTACATTAAGAGGTCTAGACTGATTTTAAATTTATGTTCAATTCCTGTGCAAACTGCAATGTGGCTAGTCTTCTCAGCGCCAAAGTTAACTGTAACTTGATTATAATTGGAAGCATTTGACTATGATTTCATTTTATTTTTAGGCATGCTTATTGCTGTAAAAAAAGCCAATCTTACAAATCATTGTGCAAGTATTTTAATAAGATTTGCACACATCTCAAAAAATTCTATTGTGTGGCTCCCTGATCTTGGGGTTAACTCCACGACAGAAGAGTCAAGGGACGAGGTCACCGATGAGGTAAGAGACACATCAGAGGATTTGCCTTGAGCATCACTGTCCAAATCCTTCTGACAAGATCTGTAGTTAGTCACAGAGCCAGACCTCTGGGGAGTGGTAGTCCCCGATTTTCCTTCAGTAATTTCCTCTAATGTTAAAAGAGAAAGAGAAAAGGAACATTTTAAAGGATTGCTGACATGACTATATAATTGAAGATGTGGTACATGGAGAAATAAGGCAAGCATTCTGAGAACAAGTGGATCAAGGTCACCAGGCTAAGCCAATCTGGTTCAGTGGATCAAGAGCAATATTTATCTACTCCCATTAACTGAGGGGGTGGCCTACTCCATTAAAATTGTTTGCTACATTAACCCATTATTCATTTTGCTTATCATTTTTCTTCCACAAGTGGCCAACCAGGAAACTCACAAGCAGGTTACAATGGTGTTGGCCACCCCATTTGTTCCCAGTATCTGGTACTTAGAAGCACATGGATTCTAAACATGGGCTGGGTTCAGACAACACAATCCACACAAGGGTTGAATATGGGTTGAGTGTGGGTTTTTCTAAAACACAGGTTATCATGTTGTCTGAATGCAAATGTGGTAAGAAACCATGATTTGTTAACCACAAACAACCCACAGTTCACAATACAATAATAAACCTCTTTCATGGGTTGTTCAGGGTTAACAAATCATGGCTTGTTACTGTGGCCTGGTTGAGACAACATGATAACCCACACTCAACCCATATTCAACTCTTGAGCGTGAGTGACTGTTTTCTCTTAACCCAGTCATGGAGTCTCCATTTAGCCCTGATACCTCTTTCCATGCAAGCCATGCCCAGTATCAATCACTACAAGTGGTAATGCTGAACTCTGTTTAAGTTGCATTATACTTTAATTATGACATTTTACCTGTATTTTATTATTGCTTGCTTCCTTGAGCACTATTTTAAGTGGAAAATGTGTACTTCCTTTTATCTGCCTTGAACCTGCTGCCATAACTTTCCACTGTGTCTTAAGCTGCCTCAGAACCCACATCTTTAAATCTGGCATAACAATAACAAATATGATGGAAGAATAAAATACAGTAAGAATTCTAAAATAAGCATTCTTTGCGTAAGTAAGGCCCAAAGCATATTTATAATCTTGAAAATATAGTGTTTTTCCTTTAATTCTTGAGTAAGTGCTGGTTTGCAGATGAGGGCCCTAGTGTAGGGGAGAAGCAATTAACCTTTCCTACTTGCTGTGATTCCAATCTGCATACACCCTCTGCCTGGAATATAGATTTCCAGTTATCCCTTTGCTTTAATAAATCAGTATGTGGTAGTATAAGGTGAGGCACAGTCCCCTAGTTTGGGATAGTAGCAAAGGTGGAAAGGTTAAACTCCCACCTGGATCTGGATCCCTGTCCTTGAATAAAACAGAAGATGACATCACTGCTAAGTCTTTAAAGTAACATGGGCTTTCAGTCTACAAGATTTCATGCAAATAATCAACTTTACACACCATCAATGCTACGAAAATCCAGTAGATACGTCCTACTGTCCACCTGGTATAACTGCAGGCTCATTTTGGAATACGTGCCAGTCACGGGATTCTTCCTTCGAACACGCAGGTAGTATGGATTTACAACCTAGGAAACAAAACTGAAAGTTAACTCCACTCTAATTTTTATCAAGGAACACCAAAACCGTAATTGATGAAAATGTTTCCGTGGGTTCTATTTTATAACACACCCTGTGGAAAGGAAAAAAAAATCATTTAAACATTCTCACCTTCCACTCATAATCCAATTGTTTGATTGCTCGACAAACTTCTGCCATTATGTCATTTGGCCGACTTTGACTCCGGATCCCCAAATGCCACTTAGCTCTTCTGACCCCCTGATGTTTGGACTTCTGCGGGTTTAACTCATCAAGCGTATGGCGTGGCCTTGGTGCTTCAGCAACTAAAAATGGCACTCTTTCAGGGTGGGGACGGGAGAAGTGATCATCAAGAAAGGAATCTGGTGGGCTTGTAGCCAAATAGAAGTCCTTCGCTTCATTCATTATCCTTCTGTTATCTATAATTAGGTGATAGGCAACTGCTAAAGGATCCTGATGATTTCGATTATACAAGCAGCTCAGAACTTCCTCCTCTGTGCATTCAAACTTTTCACAGACCTCTTTTAAGGCTTCATCATCAATCATTGTTGAACTGTAAGATGGGTCTTCAGGAAAGAGGTACTTGGGAAGATCTTGCTTAAACCATTCATGTTCCCTAGATATGAGACAACCCAGTCATTTAAAAACAGGCATTCTCTTGTTTAGTAAGCCTTTTTCAAACAAAATATTGTAGAGTTTACTTAAAGACTGACTTGGAAAGTCAGAAGTAACATAGTATTCGAAGTATATAGTATCTTCAGTTCTCCATCCACAGATGACTCATTCTCTTAGCCTCAGAGGTATCACCTCTGACAGATATGAAAAAGCAATTAACATACACTGTAATCCATACTTAACTACTCAGAAACAAGGCCTACCGAATTGGGTACAGCCTTAGTGATTACAAGTGCATTTAGAATACTGTTCAGTTTTAAACTTTCCTTCATTCTGTAAACTTCTCATTCTCACAGTATTTCAGATGTGCTATTGTGTCCATCCCCTGCCAGCAAAATATCTCAGGCCATTCTTGGTTAGGAGAGCTGAGAAGTTTGCGGACTGTGGTTGTCTGTGGCTTGTCGATCACTGCTACCAGAGCAGCTGCGTAGTCTCAGAAGGATTTTCATGAAACCCCTTCCAGGACCAAATTAGATGTGATAATGGCAGAGCTGTATGTGAGATGTGAACTGCTGCCCAATTTCTCTAAAGCTCGTTTAAAGTGGCTTGAAGCACAAGTTGGATGTGAGGGTTACTAAATTCCCCTCCTGCCTCTTCTTTTCTCCCTAGCTCTATCCAGGTGTTGGGTACAAAAAAACAAGCGGGGCTTGTTTGCATTGCTCCTGCTGCCACAGGTTATTCATTCAAAGTTACCACTAGAACAGAGTTTAGTGATTCAGTTGTATGTAGGATCAGATGTCCAGGGAGGAAGATGGTCCCAGATCAGGTGCCTAGCTTGCTCAGAATACAAAGCAAGTGAATACAAGAGAAAGAGCTGTAACTCAGGATAAAGCCTGTGTTTTTCCATGCAGAGGTTTTAAGGTTCAATCTCTGTAACCCTAGAAAGAGGTGGGAAAGTCCCTGGGCTGACATTCTGGAAAGCTGCTGCCACTTTGTATAGACAATGTTGAGCTGGATGACTCAGTCAGTAATCGATGTTTTTCATTTACAGGGGCATTCCTCACAGCTGTTTTTATTTTTTTATTTTTTAAATATTTTCCCCATTGTATTTTATTGTACTGTTTTATGTACTATTGTAAGTTTCAGGTATGTGTGCATAAGATCATAATAAAATCTAGTTTCAGAATCAGGATAGTAATCTAAACTTGCTATATTTTAACAACTAAAAAAAAAAATACTATCCAAAGGCAAAAAGGTTTCCTGCAAGCAGTTAAACATGATTTCAAGAACCTCCACCGAGAAACTGGAATTAGTTACATTACATAAAAATACTTTTTAAATTATTATAATATTTGAGATTAGTCAATCTGGTACTGCATCAAAGGATTATGAAGTTATACTTTGCTGGTCTTGCAATACAAGACAAGTTGGATTTTAGCTATTACAATGTGAATATAAGATCGTAATACAGAATTGCTAGTTAGGCTAAAATTCTAGTTTAGAGCCACAGGACTGGGTTTGCTAAGCTTTGCGCTTCCTATTCCCAACCAGTCTTTCCTGCCTTGGTGCCCACCAGATGTTTTAGGCTTTCAGCTCACACCAGCCCCAGAAGTTCAAACCTTCTGAAGAGCACCACGTTGAGGGAGACTGATTTGAACTTTGGTGTACTGAAACAAGTCAAGATCAAACCTTGGGCTGTTTCCAACATAACTTGTACTTAATTCAAATCAGTGGCTGTTCCAGAGGATTAGAAGAACACTTCGATGCAAGAGTCTTTCCTATGAAGTCAAACCATAGTTAAATGGTATAATCAAACTGGGACAGCTTCAAGCCAAAGGTGCAGATATTTAGTGCAGATATTTAGAATTAGGACTGTAGTCTATATTTGAAAGATGAGGTGAGAGATACCTTATGTCTCTGATCGTAGCTCTCTTCATGGGATCCACCTGCAACATGTGTTTCAAAAGGCTAATTACGGCTGGATTCAGGTACTGAGGAGTATAAAATATACCATCACATATCTTCTTAAAAAGTGTTGGCACATGATCATCATCAAATGGAAGGGTTCCACATAATAAAGCATAGAGGATAACTCCACTACTCCAGATATCCACTTCTGGACCTGCATATAACCTGAAGAATGGATTTCGGAATTAATGCTGTACAAGTAACAAATACTTATGCAGAAAGCATTTTAAACTGGCTGGTCAATCTTTCAGCAGTTAATGGGAAATACTACACAAAGCACTACAACGTATGTATTTCAGCTGTGTTTGTTAACATAAAATGGAGCCAAATGGTACAGTGAACTGAGAGCCAGGGACACCTGCTCCAAATCAAGTCAGCCAGAAAGCTCACCAAGTGGCTTGGGTAAGTCACACTATAGGCTGGCAGAAATGCAGCACCCAGCAATGGCTAAGCGATGCAAGCTCCATCCCCTGCAGTCCATGGTTAGTCATTATGGAACATTATGTCTAAATTATCATGCACGAGAGGGTTTTTGGTTTCAACAACCTAGTCAGAAAGAAGTGCTGGTTAGCATTAACCACAGTCAACATTATATAATGGCCAATTCTAATTATGGCTTGCAGGAAATGCAGAGTACAATATAGTTTCCCATTTATAACCTATTTAACTTAATAGTTAAAGGACAGACAGTATTACGTCTGCACTGGCCTTATCCCTCAGCTGAACTTACATCATAAGGTTGTTAAAGGGATTAAAATAAAATATCCCCATGTCCTGAGCTCCCTGCCCAAACATCACAGTACAAATCCAGTAAATCAAATTATATGATCAGTAATATAATCCACCATCACAGAACTGTATTAAGTCCTGAACAAATCCGGGAGCTCTTATAGCACATTTGACTTGAGGCGCAAGTATCCATATTCTTGCAGCAAGCAGCACTTTACTCTTATGGCTAGGAGGAACTATGACTCTTAAGACAGGAGGAACAAGTCTTGTGTATAAAGATGATGCATTTCCCATTGAGGCAGAAAGTTTATAAACTATTCACACTATGATAATGTAACTCTAGATGACAAAGAAAGAGGAGGAATTTCATAGGATCCTGGTATGCTTAGTTTCTAGATAATGAACTTTTGTGCATTTGCACACCAAAAGGTAAAAAGATTGCCACCAGAATCATGCCTATTTCCACACATGTGATTAATGCCAGGTAAGTTGATTTGCTCTTCCTTTTTCACACTTGGACAGGTCAGAGGCTGGGTTTACACATCACGTGAGACCATGGCATAGCACTAAGTGCACCAGCTGCAGGGAGCCTTGGGCTTACACGCTCATCCCTGATCACCTCCAGGTCACCAGCAGTTTGTTTGTTAGCTGCAGCCTGTCATATTGTCCACAGCCAGAATTGTGGTTAACACTAATAATGACTATTTTATACAAGCCAGCTTCAGAAACCATAGTTTAGTTTGTTTAAAAATGACCACAATTACGATCAACCAATAAAGTACAGTGGTGCCTCATAGTTTGAACATCTCTAACTTCAAATGAACCAGAGTTCGAATATTAGTCAAGATGAAATTGCTCTGCCGTTAGAACGATGCTTCTAAGTTTAAACTGTCAGTGAAGTGAAAAAAATAGAGTTGCACTGAAAACTTCATTGGTTGTATGCCCCAGTTTAAATTTTTATTTTTGTTTAAAATTGAAATATTTTTTTTACAGTAAAAGACA